ACTACTACTACTACTACTACTACTACTACTACTACTACTACTACTACCCCTACTACTGCTACTACTACTACTACATACCATCTACCTTAGGTATATTAATCGAGGGTGGGGTGTGTGTATGGATTATTTTTTGGTGATTAGTTTTTTCTGACAGTCCAGAAGAGGTGGGTATCAACATTGACCAATTATTTTTCAAGCTGGATGTGTGACCCACCCAAATTAATTTGTGACATGGGGGTGGCAACACTGCTACAGCCCACGCAAAATTAAGTTAAGGACGCTACTAGCGGCTCCTGGCATCGCTACTAGGAGCAAGGACGCTACTAGGGGCTCTTGGCGTCGCTACCAGGAGCAAGGACGCTACTAGGGGCTCCTGGCATCGCTACTAGGGGCTCCTGGCCGTATTTCCAGAGTCTGTGCATGTAAGTTGAATGAATCTGCAGCCAGTGGGTGGACCAATTTTGATATCATCCATTTCTGTTTTCGCGGCAACCATCTGAGCAGTTGACTCCAAGCTTTGAAGCAATTCCGCCTCTTCAACTTTCTCGGGTGGAATCTCTTCATCAACGCCATTGGAAGTTCCATCTATGGCGTCCGATCCTCTGGGTCGCAATCCAACCATGGATCTGTTCCCCATAGTGCCTCCTTGCCGACATCACACCACCACTCCTCAAGCTGTGTCCTGATGGTTCCGGCATTCTGGCCAATGCTGCAGCAGCTTCCAAGAAGGCATACTGTATCTAAGGCCTTGCTGGCGATCTGCTTCATATCAAAGGATCGCTCAAACATTCTCGTGGGTGCAGCCTCCCAAGCAGAAGGTCAGTTTCTGGTTGGTGTAGAGAACATTAGAGAACGCTATGCTAGAGTTGTTTGTCCATTCAAAATTAATCTTTTGTGGTTGACTAGTGAGGCACCACAAAACAAATCCACAGAATGACACCTGAAAGAAATTAATTTGGGGTGCTATACCACCACTTGTGGTGAGTCGACTCCTCTTCCACCACAAAACAAATCCACAGAATGGCGCCTGAAAAACATTAATTTGTGGTGGGTTGACCACTGTACCACCCCTTGGGGTGGGCCGACCCCTCTTCCACCACAAAATGAACCCACACAAAAACTCCCCCCCAGTAAGGTCGACCTCACCCACCCCAGCGATATCCAGCGATCCCCAGCCAAACAACGAATGATCTGGAATGATTCTGCATTCTTTTTATCTAAGTGTATTATAGGACATCTTATATACGCAGACCCCACTCGTGGGGTCAGGCGTGACTGTTGATGAAGGCTAAGGCTATGATTAAGGCTAAGGCTAAGGCTATGATTAAGGCTAAAGCTAAGGCTATACCTCCCCTACCCCTCCGGAGCCTTGTAGCAGTGACGAAAAGTAGCCAAGATTTGTATTGGTTTGCTTCTTACTGGGGATTGGGGAACACTCTCCACCCGCGCGGGAAAATAAGCACGGTCCCTAAATGGTCCCGGGCTCGAATCCCGGGCTGGTCGCGGCCTGGTCCCTGCCAGTGCCCTTGGTTTTTCTTAGATTTTGTAACGTTTTCCGCTGGATTTCTAGGATTTTCAAAGGTTTTTGTAAGATTTACTCATGCCCTTCAGACCTTTTGCGAGGGTGTTGTTTTTGGGGTTCCCAGATTTGCAAAGAAAAATGCTAACCCATTTTCCTATATTTTCCTCCATTTTTTCCTCCAAAGAAAATGCGAGCAAGACCTGAGTCGCCATGAGGATAAATAAGCTGTGATTTTGCGCGGAATTCTACAGCCAGATGTCGTCACAATTCCTGAATGAAAAACACACAGAAACGACAAAAATAATTGAACCCGTGTGACACCTTGCCAATTAATTTCTGCACAGAGGGTGTGACCACCTGGATTACTTTTTTAATTAATTGAGGGTGGGTGGTACGGTCAGGTGGTCCAAGGTAGATGGCATACTACTACCACCACTACTACCATTACTACTACCATTACTACTACCATTACTACTACTACTACTACTACTACTACTACTACTACCACTACCACTACCACTACCACTACCACTACCACCACCACCACGACGACGACGACTACTACTACCACTACTACTACTACTACTACCACTGCTACTACTACCACCACTACCACCAGAGCGTAATTTTCGTTGATCTCTCACCCAGTCATGTCCATGTGTCATGACTCATGACTGTGTTTTACATGTCCTGTCATGTCATGCCTGCTTCTGTTGGAATTTTTTTCTCTGCCCAGTGTAGCCCAATTTTCACTTTGCCACATCAACTCAGATTGCACCAGGTCAAGCAATGCTTCCAGTTCCGCCTGTCGAAGTGGACCCGCTGAGGCCAGCTGCAGCCATCATCGTGTCTCCAGGAACCTGTGGATATTTGATGGTCAATGCATGATAAAAGTATCTATGTTGTATGAATCATAATGATCATTGAACAGCAGAATTGACACAGGGTGCCACTGGAGCTTCGATTACGACTTGCTGCCGGCAACAAAATCTCAAAGAGCTTCAGGAGGCTTAGATGATTTTTTTGGAGTGCGGTAGCTGTGACACAGTGTGGGAACTGAAGTCTGACTCAAGTGTGATCAGTATCAGTTTGATGGGTGGTCAAGAGGCCCTGGCTGATGGCCGCTCATGCAGCCAACGAAGAGGCAGATAGAAAAAACTTTCCACGACAGTCGGAGCAACTGGCCAGACGGAACCACTGCGACGCAGCATGTGTATAATATAATGTACCATTTGGGCACCGCGATTTGCCTACTGTGAGGCAAAAGACCTGCCTCTTCAATATGCGGTTGTCGAGGCTTTCGAGGATACAATGTATTTCGACGTTTCTTGGCATTTGGGATGGTGAATAGTCAAGGGCAAGACATTGATGAATCCCGCTCTCGAGCACGAATGTTGCTGGCGTACTTGCTCAAAGGTTGCCCATCCAAGTGCAGAAGGCACAAACTCAACAAGACTGCTTCCAAAACTGCTCTAAGTCGTCTAGTAGATGGGAAAATGTGGCGAGTTCTGAGTTTTGCTTCAGAACGGATGCCATGAACTGTGCAGTGACTACATGGTACAACTAGCGGTAACGGCGCTCACGCATTGCTGCAGGCCCAATACCCCGTCAAGAGTACGAGATTCCGCGACGCTTCCAAAGTCCCAAGGAAACGTCCATGGCATCCAGTGTGATCATTTGTGTGCACGCGTGTTTAGTTCAAATCGAGAAAAACAAGAATCTGCACATGGGAAGAAAAAATAACCTCACGACAGCAGATTTTAGCAACTGAGAGACTCAGCACTCGCAGGACTTGCTGCTCAGAGGTGAGGAGTTAATTGAGGCGGAGGCCCTGGAGGATGGTGAAGCCTTGACGCCTTCAAGACGAGTTGACAAGCTGCAACAGTTGCACATTTTGTGTCATTTGCACATGTGTATTTACAATTGTTTATATACACATTTCAATACATGTCACACTCCTATTTGCACAGGCATGTCGATGATGTAAATAGCATGTGGGCAATGTTGCGGACGTCATAGTGAAGGCAGCATCACAAATGGCCACTGTCAGACCAACCTGTGTGCTGCAAGACTCCTCATGAAATGATAAACCACGGCAAAACAGGAGCAGAACATCTTAGAATCTTAAACAAAGGTGTGATGCAAAGTCTTTAAGGTGGATCTTGCATGAAAGATCAAGAACTGAAACGAATCGTGGTAATGCAATGGTACTGTAACATGTCATCCTTTGCCTTTGTTTGCCTTTGTGCTCTTAGCTCGTGACAAGAAGCTACTGAGAGCCATGCAGAGCAAAAAGTTTGTCTTCATCCACCTTTACACATGGGTTCAGTACACTTCTGGAGGCAGAAAAATGCTCACAACTGAAAGCAAGGAATCTATGTAATGATACTTAATCAAGCATGATGCTTATGCGACAAATTGTTGTGCCGATTGGAAAAATGCCAAGCGAGTGGGCACCTTGTCCAAAAAAATGCGGAGCCTGTGAGGACCAATGCATGCCAATTGCTTGGCGGTTTCTTGCTGCAACCTACGATGCAACGCCTCAAGAAGTTTTGATGATGCTGCGCTCCTTGTCCAAAAGGTCTTATTCACGGGTGTGCTTGTCCTAGTCCTGTGGTTGAAGACAACTCAGAAAACCAAGGCAAAAGCCTGGATAGAGAGAGAGAGAGGGAGAAAAGAAAGAAAGAAAGAGATAGGGTTGGTTCGCACTGAGGTCAGGTGAAGAGCTTCACAACAAAGAATCATGGCTTCACGACCGCTTCACGCAAGGCCTGATGCCTTCACCATGGCCCATGGCCAACCCTGACCACCATGCGCCTCTCGAATCCCCTTTCCAGCGGCAGGAGTTGGAGCAGATTGCTGATGAGATCCTGCACTCCTTGGCAACAAGACTTGAGGAAACTGAGATGGAAACCCAATGGGAACCTGATGGAAGAAATCATTTGGATTTGGTAGTCTCATTTCTGCCTTTTTGCTGCGCTTCACAAGGATGCTCCAGCCTATTTCCTCAAAGAGGTCTTGGAGACAATGAAACAGTGCGAAGTTGGAAGCACGGTCCTGGACTGAGTATTGCCGCAGGGTGTCCGTTGGTGTTTTTTGTTGTTGGCTCATCAATCTCATCAACTGGGAGAAAAAAAACATTAGATTGATGGCCAAAGTCAACCTGAACGCCTGTAAAAGATAAATTGTTGACCTTGTTGACCATTACAGTACTGTAGTTAGTGACTTCCTGGTCTGATTCCTGGGCCAAAAACAAGGCTTTTTCTCACCTTGTGCAGCTACTACTGGCAAGGAGCCCGTCAGCTCAGACTTGAAAAACTGTCAGAGAGGACCACACGGCCGCATCTTCAGGATCTCACCCACTATGTGTCGCCTGGCCACCTCCAACCGAGGATCAGATGCACCAATGTAGGTCAGTCCAGCTGGCTTGCAGCCGCAGTCTCGGTGACCCACCGAAGTTTTGCTGTTAAGATCTGGCATAGCCAAGGCTGGAGGTTCTCGCAAAAGCCACTGGGAAGCAGTGATCACAAAGACACTCAAAGATCATCAAAGATCATGTGTCCTTCTTTTTTGGACCTTAGGGGTCACGGGGTATGTTCCAGCCGGGTCGATAACATCCTGGCAGAATTGAAATGTTTCTCACTATCATGGCCTTGGTCGTAGGTGGCTCGCGCACCCTCATCTGGACTCAGGTGAGATTCTTTTTCTCGCCGCATGGTGCCACTGTGTGCCACTTAGCGTCAGTTTTCGTAGCATTCCCGGGTCTTGCGGAAGGGTTCTGGCTCGCACTCGCCGAGCGAGATAGATAGAGCGACTCAAGCAAGTTGAATCAAGAAAGATGGGCTTTTTGTACCATGGCAGATGTCAAGCAACGCTGAAACACCGTAACTGACAGTTGGGATCATTTGGGTCAAATTCAGGTGAGGTCACATGGCACCTAGGCGGTTTCAGGTCGTGATATCACTTTGATTCTCCATATGAATCTCTAGCTGGTGCATACAGAAGGAATTCGATATCACCGCAAGTGTGGATTTGATTTCGTGGCTCACAGAATTGTCAGAGAAGAGCCTTGTCCTCAGGGCATGGTTGACAGCAAGAGTCATGGTATTGAAGAAGAAAATCAAAGGCAAGAAGGGCAAGGCGCAACCCAAGACAGTTGGGAAGAAGCGTTTGCCGGCGGACGATGATGACGACGAAGAGGAGGAGGAAGAGGAGCCTGTTCCAAAGGCAAAAGCGAAGCCACCCAAAGCGGCTCCAATGGATGATGATGATGATGATAATGATGAGGATGACGACGATGACGAGCCGGCTCCAAAAGTCAAAGCAAAGGCCAAAGCCAAGATGCCAGCCAAAAAGAAGCCTCCAGATGATGATGACGATGACGATGACGATGATGAGGAGGAGCCCATTCCAAAGGCAAAGGCGAAGGCCGTTGCCAAGCCGAAGATGATGGCTGATGACGATGATGATGACGAGGAGGAAGAGGAAGAAGAGGAGCCTTTGCCCAAAGCGAAGGCCAAAGTCCAGGGCAAAGCAAAAGCCAAGGCAGCCCCAGAAGATGACGGTGAAGAGGAGGAGGAAGAGGAAGAAGAAGAGGAAGAAGTTGTTCCGCTCAAAAAGAAGCGGCTGGATCTAGAGGGTGGAGGCACTCAGTCGCCAAAAGTTGCTGAAGCTTGTCCAGCCTTTTTTTGTGTGCTGAATGGCCAGCATCAGACTTGTTGTGACAGGTCAAGCCACCAAAGTGATGGTTCGAGGACAGCGGCTCACCGGCTCGACTCTCGACATAGCTTGACCCAACCGAAACCCACATGCCCACGACCATCCGCAACAGTTGAAACCTTAAACTTAGCAGGTTCATGGACGATGGAGGTAAAGGTAGGGCCCCAGGCCTCGCTGAAGTGTGTGACCCATCGCAATGTGCCCAAGAGAAGCAGATGAAACTAAATAGATTGATAGAGATAGATAGATAGATAGATACAGTAGATAGTTATGATCCCAGTTGCTACCGGCTAGCGGCTTGTGGTCGACCACGGAAAACTAGCTTTTGTTTGACTCATTTAGTTTAAGGAGTATCTAAAATGGGTCTTCAAGTAAAATGGCTTTGGCGCGGATGGATTTGCAAACTTGTAAACATATATAGCCGGTTTGGAAAGACACTTGCGGTACAAGCGTTTGAGACGGGAATCCAGTTTATTTACAGTAACGTCAGTTTGAGCTATAATATGATGATGAAACAGCTGAGCATTAAAATCTGCCCACACCGAAGGTGCTCGGGGCGTGATCATCCGGATGGCATAAACAATTGTAAGGTGCAGTACAGGTTTACCCGGGGGGGGGGTCATTTTTTGGTGAAAACAATGGGTTTGTGATGGGTCGCGACGGCGGACTTCAAAAACCACTTTTTTATACAGCACGGAATGGACTAGTTACTGCATGCACACAAGAGTGTCCCGTAAGAGTGTCCCACAAGAGTCAGAGTTTCCTACACGAGTGACCCACAAGAGTTTTCCAAAAGAGTGCCCCACAAGAGCTTCCTACAAGAGTGACCCACAAGAGTGTCCCACAAGAGTGTCCTATATGCGTGTCCCACAAGAGTTTCCTACAAGAGTGTCATTTGGACATATGTAGCTTTTCGAACGCGTTTGCATTCGGGTTCGTGGGCATCTTGTTTCATTTGATTCGTGTTGAATCAGGAGTCCCTACCTAAATCTTCAGGCGAAAAAGTCAATCAAGGCCCTCAGTGACTCAATGCTCAAAAAATTATCCCGGCAAGAGACCCCAATCAGTGTGTGTGTGTGAGGTCGATAAGCAGAAAGTCTAGAGATCTAGACGCATTGGGGTCCAGAGAGGTGATGGTGGTGATGAGTGCGGGTGTGAGTAGGAGTGTGAGTGGGAGTGAGAGTGAGTGTGGGTGAGAGTGAATGTGGGTGAGAGTGAGAGCATGAGGGAGTGTGAGTGAGAGTGGGAGAGTGAGTGAGTGCGAGTGTGAGTGAGAGTGAGTGTGCGGAGTGAGTGTGGGTGAGAGTGGGTGAGTGTGTGAGTGTGTGTGCGAGTGCGAGCGCGAGTGTGAGTGTGAGTGAGAGTGAGAGTGAGTGTGAGTGTGAGTGTCAGTGTGAGAGTGAGAGTGAGAGTGAGAGTGAGTGAGAGCGTGAGCGTGAGAGTGAGCATGAGAGTGTGTAGCATCTGAGAGCACAAAGTGCTGCGCCGGCGCTTGCCACGAAATCTGCATCACCAAGTGCTGTGCCTGCCACGGAGTCTGCACTTCGACTTCGAGGTTCCCAAAGTGCTGCGCCTGCCACGAAATCTGCACTTCGAGGTTCACAAAGTGCTGTGCCTGCCACGAAATCTGCACTTCGAGGTTCACAAAGCACTGTGCCTGCCAGCAAATCTGCACGTCAAGGTTCACAAAGTGCTGTGCCTGCCACGAAATCTGCACGTCGAGGTTCACAAAGTGCTGTACCTGCCTCGAAATTTGTGCTGTACCTGCCTCGAAATCTACACGTCGAGGCTCACAAAGTGCTGTACCTGCCACGAAATCTGCACGTCGAGGTTCACAAAGTGCCATACCTGCCACGAAATCTGCGAATGAGCCACATCTCCAAAAATCACAATTCACTGCACCTGTCACGAGTTCAGAGCTTGTCGAAGATCACCACCATGTCCAAAGCCACGAAAACTGCATTAACAGCTCCGATCCCTTGCACCTGTCACGAAAAGTCGACTTTGGGCCACGAAAACACGAGGTTTCCCTTGCACCTGCCACGAAAAGTGACCACCATGTGCGAAAATGCGCACGGCACCACAACGAGAGTGCAGTCGCTAGAAGCACCCGCCGCCGGCAGGCAGATTTTGCGAGCCTGCGCGTTGAAATGCACATTGACGATGTCGAGAGGCATGAATGCACTGCAAATAGCAGTGAATTAGCCGCACACGCCCGCGCACTTCAGAGAACTAAGCATCAGCTGTTTAACACTTACCGTCAAAACCCCTATGCACTGTTTGGGGAACTATAGACATGTTTTTCCCAAGTTGCGCCTGGCGATTTGAAACCGAGGTCAACTAAGTAACTAAGAATCTCGACCGAAAGGCCTTCTGAACACATCCCCTGCATATCCCTGCATTTTCAGGATTCTCGAGCAACCTCCGAAAGTCTGCAAACCAGAGGTTTAACCATATTTTGGACAGCCTATTCTTGAAGATTCATATTTTTGAGTTGTGATGTCTTGTCACGACGTCACATGACTGACAGCAAAATTGTGTGAGACCATCAACTTGCCAGTCCACCCCTAAACACTGACCCAACAACAGCAAACAAATACAACACCAAACCAATGCAAGAAAAATGTTTCGATTCGTCCGCAATTTGTTGATATATATCTTGCAAAGGTTCGATTTTCGGTGGAGCCACTGCGCCAAATAAAATGGGTGTATTTTGGCAAGACCGGGGGAAGAGCTGGTTCTGGAAAAAAAACGTTCCACAGCGCACAAGTGCTCATCACCATGAACATCAATACCATCAACAAGCTACAACTGATTATAACGATTAATAGAAGATTTTTCACTTGGCGCTGCGTGCCACATCCGGTCATTGTTTGGCAATCTGTTTTTTTGCACTTGCTCACTGTTTTGCCAAGCGTCTTTTTGGGTAACGTTCAAGTTTCGGGTTGATTTGTTTCATTTCGGAAGGCATTCCGTGGGACGCCACAGAGAAGCAGATCCGCGGCGACTTCGGCGAATGCGGTGAGATCGAAGACTTGGCAATGCCGAACAAAACCGTTTTCATCACCTACAAAACGAAGGCCGGCGCCGACAAGGCTCTGGAGTACGATGGAGATCAGTACGGCAAGGGCACCCTGCAGGCGAGCAAGGGGTGTGCTTTGTGGCGCGGCACTTCAATTCATCATAATTCATCATCAGGTTGGATGGCCTTGTGTGATGTTGTAAGTTCCAGTTTGGTTGCAAGCTGAAAGCTGACTGTCCGTTTTGAGGCCCCGATCTACTGTCCGTTTTGTGTCAAATGGTCAATTTTTTGAATTTGAGTTGTTTGTCGCCACCTGTGTATGTGAAGAAGCCTTGTTGACTTTGCATGTGCTTGAGATGGGTTGCTTTGTGCATCCCTGCGGGGAACCTTTGTAGCAAAACCTTTTCCTAGCATGCACACAGCCAGAATGTTTGTCAGACGTGGTGGGTTTTGGGGCATAATTTGGCAGTTTGCTCAACACTCACATGTCTCGTGCTTTGCAGGTAAAGCTTGACTCGAAAGGTGACGACAAGGGCAAAGGCAAAGGAAAAGATGGAGGCTGCTCCCGCTTCGGGTCCACTGTTTTGAACTTTGCACTGGCTGGATTGGGTGGACAATGGGCGACCCAATCTCATGTTTTGGAAAAGGCCTTGCACACCCCTGGGTAGAAAGGGGCGAAGTCGGGAGGCAAGAAAGGAAAGGGCAAAGATGACAAAGGAAAGGGAAAAGGCAAAAAAGGCGGGCGATTTGCAGGTGTTTTATGTTGTTTGATATTTGGTGTTGCTGTGTTTACGTCGATTATTTTTGTTTGCCCTCTTCTCGTGTTCATGCGTTTGGAACAGCATGATGCCAGCAGCTGTTGTGGATGTGTTTGGGTTGGACGCGGTCTGAAAACGGTCATCTTCCCATCACAGGAAAAGATGGAAAAGGAAAAGATGGTAAAGGTAAAAAAGGAAAGGGAAAGGATGGCAAAGGCCCTCCAGTGGCAGTGTACAATGGATGAATCAAAACTTAGGCTGATGCTGTTTTCTTTGGGCATTGGCGGGGTAAGGGGGCATCACCTGACAAGCACTGGTTAAGGCAAAGGCAAGTCGAAGAACGAATTCAAAGGCAAAAGTAAGGCCCATTCTGTTGACATGCAACGTTGTTGGGAGGCAATGTTGACATTTCTCCGCTCTTGGATTGATGCATACGTTCGTTGTTGTTTCCATTTGTCATACGAGTATCCCGCATGCCCTCTCGCCTTGCAGACCTTCGATGACGACGACGATGATGATGATGATGAGTAAAAGGATGTGAGAGGGCAGGTTTGTGCAAGGCATTCCTTGCAGGGCACTCGACGTTTCCAACTGCTGGCCTGCCAGACTCCAAACAGTTCCACGGGCACTCGTTGGACATGGCAAGCCAGAGGTTCTTAAGACCCCAGAATCGTGTACATGTAGACAGGGAACAATATGTTGAGTATTGCTGGGTTGAACAATGTTGAACACCTATTTCTTCATTTTGTTTCGACCATTCTTGCCAAAGGAGATCGCCATAGGAAGCGCGGGAACACCAATGAATGAGTGACTCGCAGGGGTAGTGGTTGTGGCCACCCAAAGCCTGCACAGGTTGAGTGAGGGCACCGACGTCTTACACTTCTGCCTCAGCTACACACGTTCCAAGATACGACAGTTTTGGTGATTCAGGGCGAAGGAGGCTTGCGCCAATGGGAGGAATCCACCACATGAATCAAAATGTTGATACTGGATCCATGTTTCTTTTCATCACATGCTTGTAGCGAGGTCAGGTCAAATCATTTCATATAGTTTCATATTCACTGAGCATTATTGCTCCCTAGTGAGCCAATGCGAAGCTTCGACAAAAATCCCGAAAAGATCGCTCTCAGCAGATCCGCACCAAGAGACCACCACGGCGCAACACGCGGCACGCGATCTGTGGTCCCATTTTGCCTTTTTGGCTCGTGCCCGAGCCGAGTTTGCCACGACATGCCGGAGGTGCCGCACGGAGACGTGTTACATCGTGCTAGGATAACATGGGACATGAAACACATGAAACGTTGTGCAACAAATTGAGGGTAACAATACTGATACTGTCCCTTCAATTGAAGGACAAATTGCCGTGCATGAGATTCATGAGACTGTTTGTATCTCACCCAAGGCTGCGAATACCGCGGCTTGCGACGGCAGAACCGACTCGCCGCAACCGGCACCCGAGACGAGTCTCGGCAATGGATATACTGATATACTATCAGCATTGAATGGCATCAGCATCAATTTTCAATAAGTCTAAGGCCTTCCATCCTTTTGGAACCTCAGCGCGGAAGGAATGTTCATGTAAAGTAATCCCATGGACAAATGACAAACATGTCCGTTTCCAGATGTTTCCACTAAGGGGTAGGCTCTTTTTGTTAATAAACAAGTCTATAGTCTATATATCTATCTATTAAATATATATATATATGTGTGTGTGTGTGTGCAGAAGACGGCATGGGTGCCATATCAAGATACCCAAGCAAATTGTAGCAGATCTACAATGTACAACAAGTAAATGGTTTCAAGGTATGTGATTGTAAATGACCTTCGATGCAAGGTTGGATGGTCCAGATTTGGGGCCTGATCCGGACGCGGTCACCGTTGAGAACGGTGGATGCAATGACCTCGTCCACCACAAGCCGGGCCAGGAAAGGCCTGAAGAAAAGGAGATGGTAGATGCAGTTGCCAGTGCAGTTGGTGCGGTTTCTGATTCCATCCCAGCGGTGCAGATCTGTGTGAGAGTGAGGCCAATGCTTCAGTGGGAGAAGGCTGAGGGGTACGAAGCCAGTGCCATGGAGTTGAAAGAAGGCATCAATGGCACCGTCGCTTTGAAGGAGGACGGCCGCCACCGGCACTTTGGCTTCAATGCCGTCATTGGTGGCGACCGCACGCAGCAGGAAGTTTGGGAAATGTCTCGGCTTGATGCTGTGGTCAGGAAAGTTGCGTTGGGTTTTCATGCGACAGTTTTTGCGTATGGCCAGACTGGAACGGGAAAGACCCATACAATGGAAGGGTTTACCTATGAGCATCACTGCGGCATTGCTCCCACAATGGCAGCAGCGCGCCCACGTGTGAAGGCGAGGTAAATAGGGAGAAAGCAGGATGTAGGAGGTAGTTATAGAATGTTTTAGATGTTATTTGTGGGTTGGAGAGGGTTACAAAAGCTGGTGTTGCTCCTTTGATCTCCCTTGCATCGATTTGGGTGACATCCATAGACCTAGACCTTCAAAAGATTCTTTCTGGATGCGCTTCATCAGGCCTCAAGAGCTTGCTTCCAAAATGTTTTCTTTCAGACCTAGCGAGCTGCCTCAGGCGAAGGCCACTCCTGCGGAGCAGTTGGGCATTGTCCCCAGGGCAGTGGTGGCCTTGTTTGACCGCGTCGAAGCCATAAAGGCGGAAAAAGACGTAGCCGCCCCAGCGACAAGTGCGCCTGAATCCTTTGCGCCCGCTACATCGGCTTCTTCATTTTCCTCTACATCTTCATGCGTTGTGCGCCTTTCCTTTCTGCAGATTTACAACGAGAAGATTTTTGATCTGCTGAACCCGTCCAGCACGGTGTCACAGCGAGAGGCTGGAGGCCGTGGAGAGGAGTTTTCTGGCCTTCGTTTGCGCTGGGATGCTGCCAGAAGGCACTTCTTTGTTGAGAATCTCTTCCAATACGAGTGCTCCTCTGCCGAAGAGGCCCTGCAACACTATCAGCAGGGCATTCAGAACAAGCAGGCACACAGGGCGAATTCCAAGCTGAGTGTCAAATATCTGTGGAACAAAGCCTTGGTGTGGACGATCTGGGAGAATCAAGAGACGTCAACTTAGTTTCAGAATGTTCCGATGTTCTGTTTCCCTTCGATTTCTTTGCCAATCTGCCAGGTGGCATCCACCACAATGAACGTCGCATCCTCCAGGTCGCACACCTTGTTGGTCTTGACCCTCTTGCGACGGGAGGGTGATGAGGAGGGCAACCGTACCCCTGGGCGGCAGGGCAGGCAGGGACAGGGCAGGCCATGTCAGGAAGTGATCTCGCAGTTGTCCCTTGTGGACTTGGCAGGGTCTGAACGGAGCATTGCTGGTGTTTCAGGGCGGGACGCTGGGAAGAGCACCACGCGGTTCCAGGAGGCTGTGAACGTGAACCAGTCCTTGTTCGTTTTGCGCAGAGTCATCACTGCTCTCAGCAAGCGTGAGGCCACCGGAAGGAATGAGATTGTGCATGTACCATACCGAGAATCAAAGCTGACTTCCTTGTTGCAAAACAGTCTTGGGGGCAACAGCTATTTAGTGATGTTTGCTTGCGTGGCGCCATCTGAAAGGCAAGATGACGAGAACCTGAGCACTTTACAATATGCTTCACAGGCTGCATGCATTCGGAATCAACCGGTGGTGAATTTGGATCCCAAGGATCAGCTGATTCAGCAACTTGAGGCCCGTCTGGCCGTGGCGCATGAATACCTGCGCCGAACTTTGCAGGTGGCTGAGCTCCCGGAAGACCTCTTGGAAGAAGAGCGCCGCGCCGCCGGAGCGCCGCGCCGGCCCAGGCCGCGTTTGAAGGCGAAAGCTGCTCCAAAAAAACGAACCGCACATGGGCAAGCGGCTCAAGAACATGACGGGGCACATGCGCAAGCTGCTCAAGCTGCGCCAGCCACCGGAACTGGGCAAAGTCGGTCTGCGCGAGCCAAGACATGGACAGGTTTAGAGCAACGATGGGGCTTCCAAGATGAACCAAGAGATCCAGTTGGTGAACGAAAACAGAAAAATCAAGAGACGGCATCAGAAAGCTCACGCGAGAGTTCCAAGTCAACAACAAAGCCTGTCAAAAGGATGAGTGGTCGCGAAGCAAGCTCTGCGACCTCTACTCTTTCCAGGGTTGTTCAAGGCAGGAAGATGACGGAAGACGTGGACTTTTCGAAGCTAACGTGCAATCATTCGAGTGTTTGCTTAGATGTTGTTTCCATTCTTCAGTGTTTTTCAAACGCCGTGTTCCTCAGCAGCATGGTGATTCATCATAATCAACTTAGCGGAGGTGCCGCGCAAAAATCGCCCAGCTGCGATGATTGGCCTTTTGCCGTGCGGTCCAAGAAATCCGAAACGAAGGGCCAAGAACTGTTCGCCGCTGTCGATGCTCCTTGGGTCCTCAAGATGGTGTTTGAGAGCTGAGTGCAGTAGTGATAGTGCCACCCGAAGACTTCACAGCCACTCAGTCGGTCAGTCAGCCAGTCAGTCAGTCATCAAAGTTGGACTCCAAGTTCCCTGCCGGACTAGGCCATGATGCGCGGCTATGACGGCCCCAAGCCTTCTCCTCGAAAACCAAAGCCCAGGCAACAATCGGGGCATGATGCAACGGAGACAAGTGTTTCAGCAAGACAGGATGCTTGCTGATCATGGCGATCATCAAGGGGATGGGTCAACACCGACATCGATGTGTTGTGATCATATAGATATATAATCTATATGATTGTATATGTATATACTTAATCATATATGTTGGATAGAACGTCCACTAACAGTGCACCAGGGTTTTGACCCATAGCATCCCATAGCAATTTATTGCGTCTTGCTGACCTTTTGTTGTCCGATTCTCCCAGGCCAGCTTCTTTACCCCCAGTGGTGCCAGAAGTGAGTGCGGGACCCGGAGTGTGAGCAGTGTCAAAATTTATTTGTGTGATGCTGTGAAATTCACTCTACAACAGGCCTTCCAATCATATTGTGCTGCCATTTGCCACAAAACGAACAATGAGCCAAAACAGGATTTAAAAAATACAAAAACAAAGATTTGAGACCCAGTCCAGAGTCCAGAGCATGTGTAGAAACATTGTTTCGTTTGTTTGCTTTGGTGTTTTTGGGGCAAAAGTTCCCCTCCTCATCCTTTGAAGAGTCTTCGTGTCCACGGACATGCGCTATCTATCATTGATAAAAGCTTGTGTAAGTTTCTTACCAACTTCAGAACCCTTCTTTAGACAAGCCCCCCCCTTGTCACTTTTCATGCATCCATCATCATTCAAAGACGCGTTTTGCAATACACTGCCAAAGTCTCCTCCATGTGAAGTTCCTCATCCTCTGACCAAATTTTGCTTATTGTAAGCTCTCATCATCAACTGAGAAGTCTACTCCGCAAAAGAACTTCTTTGTGAAGAATCATGCTTAAAATGGTTCTCACCACACCTGGATACTAAATCTAAATACAGCCACGATCAACCATGGGCTATAGACAAGAACACGGCTGTGTCCACTTGCATTTAAAGGAAACAAGATGGAGCCCACGAACCCAAATGCAAACACGTTCGAATATATAGTTATATACATATGCTGACAGATCTTCATAGGTATATTCCAATAGACTGCCTGTCAGTCACATGAGCAGGCGAACAAGGTGCATCATGCGCTGGGGACTCCACCACCAAGGCATCATGCGCTGGGGGCTCCACCACCAAGCTCCCAAGCTCCGTAGCACGCTTTGCATTCAAATCAGGCAATGGCGTAAAGGTTGCGGCAGATCCGTCCCAAAATCTCGAAAGCTCGTGGCCTCCATCTTGTTTTCAATGCCTGCGTATATATGAATAGATAGACATTGTATAGATATAAAGATAAAAAATGCATGTATATACTTTTGCAATATATAAATGTATACATATCAACCAATCTCAAAACAGCCCTCTACGCTGCACGAAGACGCCCCACTCCAATGAAACAACATTTTCACACACCCTGCTATCTTGCACTATCACTGCTACAGCTTCCTGGCTACCCTGCAAGCTCAGTACTATACACACAAAGCTGTATCGGGACTCCATCGCGAGATACTGTCAAACCCTTTAAACTACATCCATTTACACCCAACATTCACTCTCGCCCTTCGGGGCCGCAGGAGTGGTTTTGTGCTGACGTGCATCACTCCCACAATGCATACTCCTCAGGCAACGTACAACATTGGGATTGTTCTTCGTTACCTTCCGGAAACGAGGAGGGCATGTTCTATCATATTGCCATTTCCAAACTGTCATCACACCAAATCAAAACACGAAGCACCAGACTCGCTCAACCACCTGAGAAGCAAACCAGTCCTGTCACAAGCTCCTCTTTCGAGGGCGCAGCTCGACATCGAATCCTGACAAGGATGGCTCGAGGGTCTCCATGCAACTGTCGAAATACAGAATCGAGAAAAACGAGAACGGTCCATAAATATCAGACATACTATGCACAATCATTCAACAAAAAACATGTGTATATACAAATATCTTTCTGTTACCTATCTAAACGAAAACGGTTTCTACTATACATAAGACATGCGCTAAAATGAAAGCATTATAACAATGCGTAGCAGCTACAGTCTCAAGAACCATCGTGCCTGTCGCAAATGTCATTTCCTGGCTTGCTACACACCCACTCTGCTGCTTCACTTGCTTCTCCCATTTCACACATTCCGGATGTTGAAGCTTCATCACGAAAAACCATGTCTACTACGCCTCATAAAAACAAACTTCCCAACATGGCCAACTTCATGACCCATATTGAACGTACTCTTACAAATAACCTCTCGAATTCTGACTGGTCTATTTCCCCAAACAGTTTACTGTTGGGGTTCTATCTTAGAAAAAAACGAGCTGGCCACACTCACTGGCCGTGCCCGGGCCCCTGAATTCTGTGGCTGGGCTCTGTGTCCAGGCCTTGTCCTCCTCTTGTCCTTGTCTTGGCCGCGCCCCTGAACTCTGTGGCCCGGCTCTGTGTCCGGGTCTTGTCGTTGTCTTGCCCGCGCCCCTCAGCTCTGTGGCTGGTCTCTGTGGCCCGGTTTACTGGAGAGGAGTGTGGCCGAACAAACAGCGATGTCAATGCCGACAAGAATTCATTGATGAAGCAGTTTGCTCTTAGGGTGAAGGTAGGCAAGAAATCGTTTTTTGACTAATATTGTTCTAAACGAATCGTTTTGAAGCTGTTTGGGGTCTATGCTGGTAAAAAAAAAATTCACCGCATTCGCATCCAGACGACGCTCTCCATGGCTAGCACGGGACTCCACCACGTTGCCGATGCATGTCCTAGCCTGCGGCCATCTCTACAATGGCTTGCTGCTTCGGTACAGGCCACGGCTCGAAAGGGAGTCGCCACCCTGGTCTCCACTTCGGCTGACAGCTCCGCGAAGGCCACACTTCGAAAGCGACCCTGGACGCTCGCCACACGGGCATGAAAAGCGCGCTGCCCACTCAATGCCTCTTCACACGCGTCGCGCGCCGATGCAGTGTGTCTCGGAAAGGTTGACAACTCATGAGCTGCTCTTGCAGCACCAGGTCTGTCCCGTCACCCTGTGCATTGCCGCGCTCAAACATTTGCTTCTGCATCACACACACACACTTATGGATATGCGTACTGACTTGACAGCGGTGCCACACGCCAGCCTAAGAAACCCAAATCCTGAAAGGTCCAGGAAAGTCCTAAAGAGCCTGGGGGTCTTCAAAAGGAAGCGAGGCCAAAAGCTCAAGACGGGTCCGATCCGACAGGGTGACGTCGTTCCATGCGTGACTGCCAATGCAGTAGCCCTTTACAAAAGAAAGAAGAATGGCCACCTGCTGCGGCTTACAATGCGCCCAGGTGCACCAAGCAGGTACCTTTTCACGACAGCTTGGATGGGTCTTCGTTGGCCCATGCCATCCAAGTGTCCATGGGCCCCCTGCTTGAAACAAAACGAAAACAATTCGAAAGAATCGCTGTGACTACAAGGGGCACACACACACGCCTCCCCAAAGGGAGGCAAATTTTAAGCGCCAAGCCGGAAGGTTGGGTGAGACTGGCTAAATTGGCGAAGTTCACGATAAGTCTGATAAGCCGTCAGAGGTAGTCGAAGTTGACAAATAGCATCATCGTGTAGGCGAGAGGCAACAGTATGTAGAGGTCGGTAGGGGAAAGGCTCGTGGATACTCATTGGCGACGAATCCTTCGGGAGTTGACATAGTAAAGAACGAGGTCCTTAAGTGCGCAGGTGTGCGGGACTTCCCATACACGAGAGTCGCCGGTAGAAGGCAGGGCCATCCAGAATGCTGTACGCTGCTGTCCCAAACGGGGGTAGATCACATCTTTGAGATCATCGACCGTGTACTCCTTGGTTTCAAGTTGGAGGGTGTCGAGGGTCACGGTGATATAACTGAGCGGTTGGTAAACGAGGAGGCTGATGTCCAATTCGAACCGGATGGTGGAAAGATGGGGAACTTGATCCAGGGACTCGAAAGGTTGACGGACGTCTCTCCATGTAGTGGTATCAAATTGGTCCAAGGTTCGGGAACACGAAGTCCGGGTGATGAGATCATCGTGGACACGGGGCATAAATGAAAACACTGTCGGGAGGAGCCAATGGCTGCGGAGAGATGAGGATAGAAAAGTGTGCGCAATGTAATGAAGAGGGCACGGAATGAAAAGGTGACAAAAGGACAAGGGAGAAAGGACAAAGCAGGATTATTTTCAAGCTGAGAATGGTAGACTCTATAGTACAGGGGAAGCTCGTACGGCCTCAACCCAAGGAAAGGGGCAGCGCTCTCATGGCAATCAATCTTGTGTCCCAGCAGTTGGTGGGAATGGAGGTGCAAGCGTGTTCTGGGGTGATGTAGACGAGGAACTCAGTGACATAGATCCCGAATCCGGAACGGGGACTTCTGTCCCAGTAGCGGCTGGAGTGATCGGCAATTCTTGGTCGGCGGGGGCGGATGGAGCCTCAGTAGGAAGGTCTGGACTGAGTTCGTCCTGATAGGAGGTCAAGGTGTACATAAGGCCTTGAATGAGTTGTTGTTGTTGAGGAGCGGGGAGACGCCGCAATCCAGGTGATTGAGAAACGTCAAGCTGGGAGAAATCCTGAAGAAGGTTTTCCAGCATTCCACACGAGTGTGTTCGATGTTGTCGACAGCTTGGCATTTTCGTCCCCTGGGATGAGCGGTGGGAGTGGAGCTCTGTGCAACGAGGCGTTGCTCTGCAGCAAGTCGTTGCTCTTCGGCAAGTATGGCATTTTCATAATTCTCACAAGCCTCCCAAATGGGGAGACTTTGAATTGCTCCCACGACCAACTGCCAGCCCCAGGTACCCCGCAAGATATTGATCGGCCCAGGTGGAGTAGAGGTGTGGGTCAAGAAAATAGCCCGGGGTGGATTTGAAGTATGGAACATCATCGTGGTCCCAACGAAGAGTCTTGTGATGGAACCAAGCTCGATAAACCAATAGCGAGAAGCGCCGTAGTTCCGACAGGACCATTCCTCATGCGGGGAGGCCACGTGGAAAGAACCGTGATCACGGTTGTGGACTTGATTGGCGTACTCGATGTAGTCCACGTTGTACTGGTTGTCAACTCGTGGAAGGCCTGGAAAAAGAGCGGGGTCCAATGTGTTCAGGTCGATGCGAGTGGGAGACCCTGATGCCAAATACACGACATTGAAGCCTTCAGGTCCGACAGGGAGGGCCATCAGAGTAGAGGTCTCCATCTGTTCTGCGGCCACGGTTTTGTAGCACGCTTGAACTTGAAGCAACGACCTGTAGAACGATAAGGCCGTATGATCTTGCGCAAACAGTACAGCCCTTGACACAGCTGTCGGCCAAAACAGAACCTGAAGAGTGTAAATGCCCCACAGCGCTAATAGACAAAGAACGCTC